TTCTTTTTTCCCCTTTTTAAAGATGGGGGCTATGTTTCCCCTTTTCCAGTCATTGGGAACTTCACCAGATTGCCACGACTTCTGAAATATGATGGATAGTGGCTTAGCAACTTCATCTGCCAGTTGCCTCAGGACCAATGGATGCACCTCGTCTGGTCCCATGGACTTGTCCACCTTCAGGTTCTTAAGATGGTCTTGGACCTGATCTTCTCCTACAGTGGGCGGTTCTTCATTCTCACAGTCCCTGCCTTTGCCAGTTCCATCTGGTGCCAGTAGGCCTGGTGCCATGCGACCCATGCCATTGTCAAAGAAGCCAAAATTGTGGTGATGACACCAGCCACGGAGCCACTTATTAATTGATTGAATGGACTTGCTTCTTCCAGTGTCATTGCTCGCAACTGGAAGGATGGATGAAAAGATTACCTGTGCCCCAGACCTTCTTACCAGCTGTCCCAGGGTCCTGAAATCCCTCTTGATCAACCGTGGACTCCGTGTTTCGGTTTCGTCTCCACCCACATGGAAGAGTAGTAAAGGATAGTAGTCTGTGGGCTGTACCAGGCTAGGAAGTTTCCTAGCGATGTCTTTAACCCGGGCTCCAGGGAGGCAGCAAACTTCCCTCAGAGCAGGGTCAGCCCGGCATATTGGACCTTCTGTCCCCTTCAGATGGGAGTCGCCTATAACTACTACCCTTCTTTTCTTCCCTGTGGAGGCAGTCTTGATACAACAGGTAGCTCTCTCTGACCCTGGTGACACCTCCAGTGCAGATGGTCCCTCAGCTTCACCATCCATCAACAGGCCTTCCACCTCCAGAGCCTCATACCTGTTGTTCAGGGGCACCTGGGGAGCTGAGGTAGGCAGAGAGTGGGGGGGTCGCCTGTTGCCCTGAGCACGGACTTCTTTCCATTCATGGTTCACCTTTGACCTACTGTCCTCTGCTGTGTGGGGTGAGGAATCAGAATGCCCTTTGCTTTGGGTTGCCTTTTCTGGGTCTTCCTGTTTATGTTCTTGCTTCAGGTCAGGCAGTGCCCGACACTTCCGATCTTTCTCAGGCTCCTTGATACTTCTCAGCCTTCTACTTCCTCCTGCAGCTCTGCAACCATGATAAGCAGATCTTCCACCTGGTCACACCTCACACAGCTGTTCTCACTACTTACCATGGAGAGGCTCAGGCACTCCCTACAGCCTGAGACCTGGACAGCCACGTCCCTCCGTGGGAGCTCTGTCTGCGCTCCCACATCCCTCTTGCCAGGTGTGGAGGTCTTCGCTTTCCACCGGGTGGTCACCATTGAGTTTTTCTGAGAAGGTGACAGCTGGCTGCTAAACCTCCCTCTCGAGCAGCAGCCAGACGGGCTGAGTTTGCCCTTCTCTCGCGCCCTTCCTCGCAAACTGCCGCGCCACGCCCTGTTTGCCCGTCCGCGCTCCTGGTCGCTCCCTGGGCGGGTTTTTTATAGGGGTGGGAGGGGCCGCCCTTGCTCTGGCAACGCCCAGGACATGTCAGCGTCTCCCGCGAGAGCTGCCGGCTCCTGGGGGGCGGTCACTTCACTCCCTCGGCGTCTCCCGACTTTTCGAGAAAAGCCCGTGTGTGTGCCGAGATCTGCCGCTCCGCAGCGGGTCGGTCCTGCTCCGGCGCAGCTCCCAAGTTCTGATTGAGATCTCACCAAGTTCTGATTTAGATCTGGCTTTCGGTTATTTGAGTGTATAGTTCAAGGGCTGGCACTTTAATAATTGTGCATTACCTGGCGTAAAGTGGCTGAGACATGAAAATACATGGAGAAAATTAAGTTTACACTGTGTTTATTCTTGCACGTTCTGATACAGAGGTGAAACTCTGAAATATATACAGATTATGATACAGAAATCCATACAGATTATGGATTCTCTTCTCCCAGAATTTTCTTTAAGCTGGGAATTGATATGAGGCTATCAAAAAATGTGTAGTGTCTTAACAGACAAAAATCAGTGAGTCTTAAATATGCCTTGTATAAGCTGGATTTCCATATCTAAGCACCATGCTCACAGGTTCCTTGTAGGCATTTTCTTTTTATAGGAGAACACAGTTAAATATTTGAGAGTCTGAAATCATCCTTGTGTTTTAAGGAACATAGAACTCTTAGTTTAAGAACTCTCTCCTATATCAGATGTTGATGGATTTAACATTTATAAAATCTTCAAACTAGTGGTAGCTTTCAAGATACTTAGAAGCTGAGACAAGTTTTAGTCTACTAGTTTTTTAATTCACCATGAAACCTATTTTAGACATATGTTGTGGAAACAAGAATGGTGTATTACTCTGAAGTATAGAAGAGAGTGTTTGGAAATAAAGTAATTGTTCTCCAAAATCTTAAGTGCTGGAATTCTGAGTTGCTTTAAGAGGTAATAGAATGGGCTTATCCAGAGAGCCAAAGAGGTTTGTTAAAATGTAGTTTTATGTTGAGATGTCACTATTTTGATTGTATTAAAGTTGGTAGCACTATTCACTTGCCCTTAACAGTTCTAAACAAACCTGTGTTTGTAAATCAGAAGTGTTATTTCCAAGGAGTGTTACATGTTCATATTGGATTATATGTTTCAGTACATAGAAAAAGGACAGTTTTGCTTCCATGCTGCTTTAAGGGTGCAGAAAGCTCCACAATTAGATGATTAGCAATTGGCTGCTATTTTTAGCATTTTTTGCCTAGATTTTTAGAAGTTCACTGATTATAAAAATGCAGATGGTTTTATCTGTTGTGGCTTGATAAAATGTTCCCTCACTGTACTTTGGTAATGAGAAGCAGAAGCTTAATGAGACTGTATGTTCGAATGAAAGGTTCCTTTTGACTTCTCACTGGAATTTTGTCACCCAGAGCTTGAGTTCATCTCTAGCTTCTGTAGCCTAAAATTTTCTCTAATGTAATGATGACTGAAGCAGGCCTCGGTGACTTGAACCGAAAATGGAGATAGAGGGAGCGTACCGAGAAAAAAGGTATGCAAATGGAAACAAAAATACTTTTACCGGAGTAAGTATGGTTCATGTCTTCATAGAATCCCATGACCCGTGGGGTAGGAAATCCCCGTTGTTGGAGGCAGACTCTTTAGTTAACAATGTTAGTACATGGTTTTTTGCATTGCATTTGTCCTGCCTTCGTTGTCGCTAGGTGTCACATGTCTTAATTTCTTTGTTAAAACCGCCTAAAAAATTGTTCTTTTTTTTTGGCACAAAACTACCTTTTCCATCCTGTAACTCCTGGCAGATAAACACGGTGCATTCTTAAAACAGAAATTAGCAGCCTGAAATGCTCTGAATTACTCCATTTTTTCTGTGGATAATCCATAAAACTACTTGGAAGTGCTTCTCTTATAAAATCGACACTTGGGCAGTAGTAGTACGATACAGATGTGGAAGGGCAGCATTACTCAGTGCCTAGGCTTTTCGCTGCCATCTTGGCTGCAGAAGGTCTGTCCCAGGCAGACCCTGCCAAGGCCCTCTGGACCCAACTCAAGTAGTCTGAAATACCACTGAGCTGACTGGAACAGCCACTGTGGAAGACATGGGACATTGTCATCTTTGCTCCCTTGTTGCTGCTCTGGGACCAGACATGTTCCTAATGAGGCGCTGGCTTCCCTGGGAGCCATTTCAATTATGCTGGCTTACCTGGGAACACCTGTGCCGGGTGCTCTGCATGTGGTGTCACCCATGCTTTATGCTGCATTCGGCTTCTGGCTTTGTGTGCTCAACGGTGTGAAGTTAGCCGGTCGGTAGGAAGAGGGTTCTGCCACTGGAACATGATTAGACTGGTAGATCCTGAAGTCACTGGAAAGGCTCCCCTTGGCTTCATGGTGGGCCCTGGGATGCGGAGTGAGGAGAACTGGAGAGAGGGCTGAGAAGTTGCGTGTTGCCTGTTTATCATGAATAATGAGTCAATGTCATAGTGTTTGCCAGATACTTCAGGTAGGTTAGAGAAGACAGTAGGTTAAAATAAGGGAATGAATGTTATAAGGGAGTATTATTTTAGTTTTGTAACTGATAAACCATTCAAGCTGTTTGTAGGGCACAGTCCCAGAGCTGTGCAGTAGTGTGTGATGTCTCTTTTCAAGCTGATTCCAGATGTATTCAGAATGAGAGGGGCCCAGGTCCGTTCTGGAGTCTGAGCAGAAGTGGTCCCGTGGGCCATTTCTTACCAGAAGAGTACCACAGTGACCCTGGCAGAGGTTTCTCTGGGCACTATCTGTCTGTTAGCGTTGCTCCTCCTTGGGTATCTGTGTTCTGGTGGGGAGAGACTGAAGTTAGCCAGAGAGCTGGGACAGCCTCCCAAAACATGGGGGTGAGGAGCTAAGGAGCAACCTGGGTTTCCTTGCTTTCTGTCGCTGTGACTGCCTACACGTGCTACACTGAGCGAACTCGTGCGAACAAGGATGGCAGGATAGACTTGCTTCGGAACAGCACACCTGATGATCCACTTTTAAAAGTGAGGAGGTGTACATTTTCACATATTTTCAGATTTATGATGGAGTTCTGAGCCAAGGCACACCTCAGAGCTTGAGTCTCCTTTATGTCTTGGTTTTGTTTCAAAAAATAGACACCATTATTGGGCAAAATAGGCATGCTATTTGTTCTTCCTTTTCTGACAGGCGTATAAATCTAGGCCTTTGTTTCCTTTGGTTTTCTTAAGTACCAGAAATGAAACAGTTTGTTTCAAGTTGAATGGGACATGTGACTTGACATGAAACAATTTTTTTTTTTCCAGATTTTCATTTTGTTGAGAAAAACTGAGAAGAAATGTAAATTGAATTAGCTTGGGCCTGTTTTTCTTCCCTCCCTATGGAGATATGGCTTGACAGCTATACTAAAGTATCTGTCAGCATCTAAGTTCAGGTTAAAATTCCTGCCCAGCATCATGATAAAATTTCAACATCTCTTTGAAATTTGAGTGTATAATAGTGAGACTTAGTGTCAGATGTTTGGGAATCAAAATTAGAAAAGTGTTGGAAGGGGAATATCCATACATAGGAAAGAGAGATTCTCTGAGAGTGGGCAATGCACACTTCTGAAGCTTTTCCATGCTCTACATAGGCTTACCAGAGAGGGCATCTGCAGTGGTTCTGCTTGCTCTTAAAGATGCCTGTTTTTGTGAGTAATTCTTGGCGAAGAAAACTTGACTTTTATTCTTGTTTCATTGCTCTAAGTAAAAGCAATAAAATGGGAACCAAATAGATTTACTCTGCATGGGAAAACACAAGAAAACCCTTATTTTTGGTTCAGAATATCACCACATCTATTGAAAGCATAAACTGATGTTGGAGCAGTTGCAGATCTGTAACTCTGTACAATTGGCATAAATACTGGAAAAAATCTTGCATGGTTTTTTTTTAATTATTGTAGGATGCTGTTCTTTGCAGGTAAGTCCTCTCATTAATTTCAGAATAAGAGCTGATTTGTGGTTTGTTTGCTTTTTCCTCTGTAGAAACATGAAGATACAGACTGCCCGTGTGTCATGGTTTCATGTCCTCATAAATGTAGTGTTAAAACACTCATGAGAAGCGAGGTAAGAAGACATGCCCAGTGTTGTGCTGAAAAAATAAATAGTTTTTTTTAGTAAGATCTCGCAAGAATTTTGCCAGAAGCCATTTCCTTATTAAAATGTGAGATCTAAAGAAAAGCTTTTTCTACCACACAGTTAAGTGTGATAACACTCAAATATCTTTAATGATTTATTGACAAACTATTTAACAGAATAATTTCTGATTTTTGTGTCATTATTACACTTGGCTTGCCCAAGATTAGCGCATGTCTTTCCTGCTTTCATTTTTACTAGCTCTCCCCCTGCCTTTCCCCCATCTGAAGCATTTGTTGAGCGCAGTAGAGCAGCATCTTGCGGTAGTTAGCTTATATTAAAATAAAAAGAGAGAATTAAAATTTAGTGCACATGTATGAGAATTAGTAAAGTCTAGAAAAATCATGTAAAAGCGTAAAATTGTTCCATGGAAAAACTTTAAATTATTATTAAATTTGTTTAAATTTGGGGGAAAAAAATAACTGACACGTAAAGAATTAGTCTAAGATACAGAATAATGAGTACAACGTTCCAACAGCCAGATGCAACAATGCATAAGTTTCTGTTAATTTGTAGATCCTTATGGTAATATATAGACCAGATTTAAAAAAAAAATTAAACCCATCTTGTTTGAACAGATTCATGTTCTTGTATATAAGCAGATAGAAGTAGTATCTGTCAAAGTCGATGTGCATTATTTTTTCCTAAAAATAGAACTGACTCACCAAGGATGGCGAAAAGCTTATTTAAGTGTTGAGCACTCTCTAAGCCTCACTTAAGGAAAGTAAAGTTTCTGATCTGAGGATAAACTTTTCTCTTTTGACTGATACTTACTTCCTGAGTTGGATTCATACTATTTCTCAGTTACACTTGTAAATTATTAATTGTGTCATAGTGCACAAGGCACACAAGGCACCTGCCAAACACAGAGGCAGTCTTTTTTTCCCCAGGATAATGAAATATAAAATATATGATAGATACTGTACCTATTAACAGAAACTGAGCTGCTAAGAAAAGAGGAAATATGTATACTGAGCCAATTCTATCAGTGCTTACTTCTGAGTTTAGATCCTGGTTCTGCAGCACTTAGGCTATTCTTAAATCTTGACTTCAGCAATTACCTTGAGAAGAGGTATATCTGAGTGCTAATAAGAATTGACCCATTAAAGCCTGGGTTGTTACACATGTAGTCAGAACTGGGTTCTGGAAACATTAGGAGAATCAGAATTTTAAAAAGTCATCTTGCCCTGCATCATCTGTTGCTGTATATTGCTTAGGTTTTTTTCTGAGACTGCGAAAATGTATATATTACTTAGCTGCATGGTTAGGGACTAATGCAGAAAATGGGAAAATGCCTGCCTAACAGTTTGAGAAAATTCTGTTGTGTACAACAAGTGAATATCTTATTGTAGAATAAAAGGCAATTTTTCATGTTTAATTCATAACTGTTTTGCAGACTTATAGTTTTGACAAGTTGAAAATGTGGCATTCTTCTTAAGCCTGTTATACCACGTACCTCTTTCTTATTTGGTCTTATTGTTTTTCTGAACCATGTGTCTTTTGAAACTATACTGTGAATTTCTACAGATAGTGTTTAGAACATAATAGGTGTGTATCAGAGATGAGTGACTGATTGCATCTCAGTGTCAGATTTTAAAACTGGCCTGTCTGATCCATTGCTACGTGTTCAAAGCAGAATTGGTTCACCCCTTCTTTCCATGGAGGTGGATGAGCTGAGTCATGTGGGGCTTATGGTGTGGGAATTTCAAATGAGATTTTGAAACTTTAAAGAGCAATGCCAGCTGAGGATCTAGACACTAAATCCTGTCCGCTTTGTGGGAAATGCAAACTGCGGATCCTGTTTTTGAAGAGAGAGTGTTTGTTGCACTGTCCTTTCTAAAAATGGCTCCTTGCTCCAACCTTTAGGCAGTTTGCATCCAGCTGCTGCCCTCTGTGCTGCAATGGCTGCTATCTGTATATATGTATATGCTTCTGTGGATTGGTTTATTTTTAAATTAAAAGTAGTCTGTGCTCATAATCCAAGATACTGGAATAAATCTCAATCTGAAAAATGCAGGCATTTTACTAATCAATTTTAATCCTGTGTACTGCATTTTTTGAAGTTATTTAACTGTACCTCTTCTAAAACTCTGTCTGTTTCATGCAGTACTTGTTTAGTCTTCTTTGTGTAATTTAACCGTTAAATTTAGGCACTGAGAATTGCATGTTATGTTTTGAAAAATTGATTCCTCATGAAATTCAGATTAGAAAAAATGTACTTTACTACAGTGAAACTGATCTTAAGACTTGCTCGGAATAGAGTAAAAAATCACTTGTTCTGAAAAGATTAGTCATTCACTAAAGTCAAATGAAATGTAAATAATTGTAGAGTGTGTTCTTTTTGTTTGCTTTTTTTTTAATTGGGTTGCTTATTGAAATAGTCTTTAATAGAAGTTTCACTGTATATTAAATGTATCACACTGTATACTGTATTGGCATGTGCGTGTGGTTTACATATGTGTATATATAGTATTTGCACGTTAGGTCAGACTGGAGAAAATATACACACATGTATTGTATGTTCTGCAAATGGCACACGATACGAACCTGATAACCTGTGCCCTCTATGTTTTGAGCATTATCATGCAAACGTCTTTTGCCAAAACTCACATTTTTTTCCTATTGCAGTTGAATGCACATTTGTCAGAATGTATTAATGCCCCAAGTACCTGTAGTTTTAAGCGTTATGGCTGCACTTTTCAGGTCAGTATATAACAATTATACTTCCCAATTGATGAAAGTCTGCAAATAGAACCTAGCTCTTTGACGTGAAAGTTCTGGACTTTTCTAGTCTCGGTTAAGAAAAAGTCATCCCATTGCACCAAGTGATTATGCAGCAGATGTTTGGTTTTGCATTTTAAAAACAAACAATATAAAAAGCCCACACGTTCCTGCAGTGGTTTGGGAGTTCAATTATTAGGTCCATCTTGTTGAAATAGGAAGATGATACATTTGAAGAACTTTTAAACTTAGAATAAGAGAAAAGTCACATTTGTTCTTCAGAAAATAGACTAGTAACTTCAGTTGTTTCTATGAAAGTGTTTATTTTCTTGAGCTAAGTATGTTTATATTTTCTCTCATTTGTGTGTCAATATTTTTATTAAGGTTAAACATAGGTTAGTGCACTTAAAACATGTATTTTTATGTGCATTCATATGTCTGTGTGCACATAAGTGTATGATCAAAGCATAACAGGAAATGTATTTAAAAAAAAAAAGTTTTATATTTTAATCCTGGCAATCCCTGCAACATTTGAAAAAATAAAAAAAGCCAAACCTCAGTTTAGTTTCAGCAGTAGTATTCCCGTCTCTTCCAATATTCTGCTTCCCTTACCATATATCTTGGGGAATTGGGATGCTTATATGATGGAGAGAATAGCCAGGAAATTCTTCAGAAACTACTCAAAGGAAAATACAGAGTTTATCAGGTAGTGTAATTCATTTCTTAGCTTGTGATTAAAACTTAAAGACAAGAACTATGAGCAGCAACACTTCTCAGTAAACTACTTCCTGCAGGTATTTCCAGGTTCTTAAATAATGAACATTCATCATTTTAAGTGTTATCAGTAATGCTCTTAGTGGTAGAGCTGATCAATGCTGTAACCCTGCCCACTGTTATGTCTTATGTATTACCATTCATTTTATGTATGTATATGTGTGCATATATGTACATATATCCACATATATATTTTTAGTATTTTATATAGAGTACATACCTTGAGGATCATTGAAACCCTTTCAGTTGCTTTGCAGCATATCTACCATCAAAGCTAATATACTCTGCATTGCAAAACACTTACTGAGGTAGGTGTAATGCAACACAATACAAATAAAGTAACATGGTCTGCATCTTATGTACTCTGTATATGATCTATGTGTGTTCTGTAAACTTCTTATATAGTGGTTATTTGTAACAGCATTTATAGGTTGTACAGAGGCAGCATATCTGAATATCATAGAGCAATCATGGTAACGTCTTAGGATGACAAACTAGGGATTGTAATATCTCTCAGAGTAGTTTATAAAGCTGGCAGTTTCCAATGATGATAAATTTATCTTAAATATTTGTCTTTAATACTCAGCTGAGGGAAAACTTAGTGTTTATGAAGCTGTTCATGAAATACAGCAGAAGTTTTAAATTGCGATTTGGGGAATTGGACATTTTAGGTTTTGTATGACTGAAGAGTTTTATTGTGCTTTATTTAGTGTAAAGCTACACAGAACACTCTAAAATACAATTCATTTTGTAAATCTTGTTCATCTTTATTGCCTCTGACGTATCAAGTGCAGTGGATGGAGATATATGGCAGTTGTATAAAACACTTGCTATATTAAATGTATTCCTGACTTTTGTAAATTCCCAAGTAGATTTCCCTTCTCTCTACAGTTCTGCAACATGCATCCGTGAACCAAAATATGTAGTGTTGGTTCGATGTCTTGATATACTCTTTCTTTGTAGGTTTAAAAGAAGTGGAATTGGCTAAAATGTATAAATTCTTTGTTGTCACAGGGAACAAACCAACAAATTAAAGCACATGAAGCCAGCTCAGCAGTGCAGCATGTTAACTTATTGAAAGAGTGGAGCAATGCTCTAGAAAATAAGGTATATCTTCTTCTCACTTCTAATTTTCATTGATTTCTTTAAATCATATAAAAGTACTGGAAGAAGCGTGGTTTTTTTTTTTCTGTTTCACAGCTGTTCAACAATACAGCTAAAACTCTAGTAGGCTCCAAAAGCAATCAAGCCATTTAGCATCTCTGGTACCTTTGTTGTAACCAAACGCTGTGAGAAACTTGGCTTCGCAACTCCATGTACAACTTTCCTCATTGGTAACTTAATGATTAAAACACTTTCTTCACATGGATAAACAGTCCAGTATTAAACTTCCTCTCTGAGCTGCCTTATTACAAAAGGGAGGGTTCAGAAAGCTATGGCAGTGCTATGAGCTCTATTTTTGCTACCTCAGTGTTTTTCCGGAGATAACATTATTAGAAATACCATGTCATAAACCTGTTATTTTATTTGTTTTTGTTCTTGCTCTCCAAACTTAATGACCTGCAAAGGTTAATTAAAGTAAACATATTGCAACTCATGGGCATGATGATTTCAGCTTTAATGCTAGACCAGAATGAAGTTCACGTTGCAGTGCTTCCTTGGGACTCCTGGTTTTAGAACGTCTGGGATTTGGGAAATGCTGGAAGTCATATCAGTATCAGCTACAATCTTGTTAATCCTTTGAATGACTTAACTGTCTGTTTTCCAAATAAAATTTAAGGCTATGATTTAAAAATATAAAACTTCAGAACAGATCATGGTTTTCTTAGCTCTTTTGAAAAAAATATTGTTTTACAGAACCATTAAAATAATGCTTCTGCCTTTTTTTTTTTTTTGGGGGGGGAAAAAATCCCAGAATTACTAAACTATTTTACAAATACAGGCAGAAGAGTCAGGAGCCCCTTCAGATTTTTCTAGAAGCAGTTAAATAAGAGTAACAGTTCCAGTGTAAGCTCAGTGACAGTTATGATATGTGTGGCTTGTGCCTTTTGTCATCTCACTGCAGGCTGCTAGCTCAAGTTTAGCAAACTCTGTCTAGAAAGCGTATTACCTTCTTGGCCTACAGTGATCTCTCGTGCATGGGTTTCCAGTACGGTCCTGCAGCCACAGGAAGTACAGTTTCAAAGCAGAAGTTAACAGGAGCAGTTTTTTGTCCCCAGGCTGCTTGTTTTTGAACTTGAAGGCCCCGTAAGGAAACCATTGAACTTGGGAGAGGTCTAGTGTAGGTTTTTTTGATAGAATTTTTACTGCATCTGTAAGTCTTAGTTTGATGGTGATCAATAACGATACTTCAGTTTGCTTTTGCACTTGAATCTCTTATTACTGTAGGAACTGTACATTTTTCTGGTTTAACAGATACAAATTCATATCCTTAGTTCTTTTTTCATTAGTCTGATTAAAACTGTGCAAGTTATTTTACATCATAGGAAAACACCGTGTTCCCTGTGACTTCCAGAATAGATCATGTTCTGCCTTTTGTCAGTGTCCTGAGAGGTGCCTTGTCATTTAAAAAATGCCCAGCAGTTCTATGTTTGTCTCTTCTAGAGCTAAGTGAATATACGCTTTACTACTCTTTTATGTTCAATTTTTGTTTTAACTTTCATTTAGGACATAACTGCTTATCATTGTTTGTCCATTTTTTTTTTTCTTTTCACTTCCTGCTTTGTAGACTTCTTCCTATTCATAATAAAGAGTTGAATCACTGGAAATCCCAAGACTCTGCCAAGTTACCAGAATAGCTAACCACATATCATATGTCAGTGACTTTAGTCTAGAGAAGGGTAACAAAATTATTTGTAACTTCATTGTTGTTCTCTTCTTTGAGGAAAAAAATTAATGGATGCACTGAAGAGCAACAGTGCAAAGTTAATTTAGCTGATGAGTATCACAGAATTGGCCCTGCTGAAGTCAGTGGAGGTCTTGTCATTGGTTTCTGTAGGGTCAAGATTTCATTAGGGGTGCTCACTGTCATATGTACAGAGGGGAAGGGAGAAGTTGCCTTCTCCTAGTCACCACGTTCTTCAGCAGTGCTTGCGGAGTATGCAGACTGAAAGTCTTCAGAGCTGCAAAGCCTGTGCTCAGTTATGGGTTTGGTATTTGAGCAGTGCTGTTGGCAGAGAGTAGTAAGAGAAGGTCAGATGTAAAATCTTGAATCAAAACTTAAAATTTGATGTTTTATTCACTCTGTGATGGGACAGACTTGCAACTGAACTCCCACAGATTTTGTGATGTTGGAAATAATGACTTGAACATAATTCTGTAGCTTTGTCACATTCTTAAAGAAATCTGGTATAAACTCATTTTTCTCTTTTAATATGTGACTTAAATATGGGACCTGTCTGTTTAATGCAATTCTTTGTGACGTAAGTGCGTTTCTTAAATTCTTTTTTAGTAAGCAATAATAATCAATAGCGTAATTTGAAAAACTGCTTAATAACAGCATGCTTTATTCTAGAAATATTTCAAATATGATAAGGATGTAAAGGAAGCTGATTGATGCAGTTTGTAAATAGATGCTGTGTTTCCTTTACCTTGTTTTTTAACTCAAGTTCCAAAGACTTATGCCGAACTCAATTAGAAAACTAGTATCTAGTCTTAAAGATTTCTTACTCACAAATTACTACCAAACTACAATTACTGAGTTAGCAATGACAGTTCTATATGATTAAGGGCTGCAGGACATAATTCTGTTTTTCTTATGTGCTGTAAAACTGCATGGAAAAATTTCAGTACAAGACAGGCCCACGTATTGTAACTTGTACAAAAATGGAAATGTAATGCTAGTGACACAGAGTGTTACTGCCTTATGATTGGGAGGCCTGGGGAGGAAACAATGAGAAAAGGGGGATGTCAAGATCACAATTAACTAAAGAACTCTGATTCATTAGGGAAAAGGAGGATGTAAAAAATTAAAGTGGCTACCCAGCAGATCTGAGATATGTGGGAGGCAAGGGTACTAGTTTAAGTTTAAACTTGTTCTTCAAAATTTTCTCTAGTACCTGGGCATGCATTCCTTCAGCCTTGAGATTGTTTCTCTCTCTGCACTGGCAAAATTAGCTTTGTCTCATTTCCGTTGAGCCTCTTCTGCCAGTTTTTCACATATACAGTGCAGAACTAATGTGTGTGTTCATACGCACACATGCTATGCTATATTGAGAAGCAGATACATACCTATATTATGGCATCTCTATATAGTTTTGGGCCCTTGTGCAATGAACGTGCTGAATGCCTGTGGACTTTGACAGTCCTTTGTCCAGTTTAGGCTAGTATAGAGATTGAAATTACATACGTTTTTAAAGAGGGTAGCTTCTGGAGTCTAGGAGTGCTGTGACACATAAGCGATTCGACTATGTCTGATTAGAGGGTAGTTAAGGAGGTGGAATTCCACAGTGATACCCATTATCAGAGGTAAAAACGGCTTGACGTCAAAAGAGTATCTGTATTGGGGTGGTGGTGTAGATTATTTTGGGAACATGAGGCACCCAAGTAATTGCTCTTAATGTGGAATGTTTATCAAAAGATTTTCATGGGTCAAAAATGGTGCTGCTTCTTAACCATATGAAGATCTATCTGTGGAACTAGTCAGGGCATATCCAAATGTCATTTTGTGTCAAGTGTTTGTTTTCTGTGTTTTTGCCGCTGAATAAGTGTGCCTGGGGGAAAACGAAATTTAAAATAAATAAAAAAAGGCAACCCACCACCACAAGCTCTTTCCCCAAACCACATTAATGAACAGAGCATGAAATAGTGTGGCAAAGAATATTTACTGTACTACTTTCATCCCTGAGGAGATAATAATATATGATATTCTTCTAAAAAGGTTCATGTTTTAAAATCAAAATGAATCACTAATGAATGAGTTCATAAAATGTCAATACAGAGAGAGAGAATATAATCCCACAACTTTGTAGCTCTTTAGTCTTTTCTACCAGTGGGCACCAGTGGGTTTTCCTTCAAATGCATGGATTCCTTCCGTATTCACTCATTTCAGGAGTTTTCATCACCATAACATTCTGTGAAGCCAAGCCAATCCCATGCGGACAATGTTTTTCCTTAAATTCGCTATAGGTGAGAGTAGATGGGGAATATTAATGTTTCCCTTTCCCGACTAGCTTTTCAGCTACTCGGCTTTTCTCTGGTGTCCCTCCTGTGCAGAGCTCGAGTTCTTAACACTGATCTGGAGCTAAATAGGTTGTTTCTTCCGAACTCCAAGCAGCGCCCAAGTCAGTGGAAACCAGGAAACCAAGCCATTAAATAACAAACCGAATAAAGATAAGGTTATGCTTAGACACCAGTTCTTTTGCTGTTTGTGTATCCCATCTGCACTTTCATTAGCCAAAGTTGTACCAATACCTCGCTGTGGAAGTGCAAAAGTAGCTGTCAGAAGGTTGGGGTTTATTTATCTATTTGCAAGACATGAAGAGAGATTTTGCTAGGATCTCGTCCCTTTCATGTGTGTAAGATAGTTTAAAACTAACAAAGTTATAGGTATTTTTAATAAACTTTGGCAGGAGTAATTGTAGAATTTTTTCCAGGTGGCCTTGCTCCAGAATGAAAGTTTGGAAAAGAACAAGAGTATACAAACTTTACATAATCAGATTTGTAGCTTTGAAATAGAAATTGAAAGACAGAAGGAAATGCTGCGGAATAATGAATCTAAAATACTTCATTTACAGGTAAGAAATTTAGAATCTCCCCATTAAAGCAGAAATGGTAGTAGCTTCTGTTCTGTGCCTTTACACTTGTGAAGTGAGGTGTTCTAATTAAAAAGGGGTGGGGAGAGAGTTTACCGTACTATAAAGCTGTTCTGGTTTATTTTTTTCCCCCTCTTCTGGTCAGTAGCTGGTATATTGTGTTTGTTGGAGTAAGATACTTCTCTAAAACATGGCAGTTGCCTAGTCTATGTTAAAACAACCCCCTGTTTAAAAAGGGAAAAGATTGAAAACGAAATTACAAATCTTACCTGAAGAATAATCATAACTACTTCTTCTCCGCAAAAAATAACTGTTTGAGGAACTGCTTTCAAAGTGGAGGACAAGATTAGCACCATAAAACTGTCATATATATAATATATATTTCTTTTCTACCTGCTGGTATTTTAAAAAATATTAATCATGAGCGAGATCAGTCTGGCGTGGAACTAATCCGAACGTAATACAATGCATTTGAGTACGCTTTTAAAAATCCATGTTTCTGTTGTCCTCCTCCTCCTCCTTCTGAGGAAAACATATCTTCCTTTGCCAGTAGGTCTGACTTTCTTACTCTGTGGTCAGACTAGAAATCCTCTGAATGCACTAGTATGGTGCTTAGCCCAAGCTAAAATTCTTTGCTTTACATTCAGAGCTGACTTGGAATGTGGATGCTGGGAATTTGTGTTAGCTTGTGTGATGCTGACCACAGTTAGGGAAACCTCAGGAGATTATTTAGCAAGCTATTGTGAAGGTGTCGTTTACACATTATTTTAGTCTGTCTGCTGCTAGAATATCAGATAGCATCCAGCTTAAATGTAAATAAAATTATGTTTTTCACTTACTATTCACTTCACATATTAAACTGCAAATATTTGTACTCAAGAAAGATATAGGTATCCAAACTAGAGTATGGCTAAAATTCAAAGGAGAGCACATTCAAGAGCTCAGAGCCTTGAAACCCTCAATGTTGGTTTATAAGGAAAGTTCAGCAACAGCAATATTTCTCCCTATAGCACTTACTTTTCCATGTTCTGCCCACATAGTAACCAGTTTAGCCTGCTTTAGTCATCGTTCTTTAGTCTGATGATAGTCTGAGATATGGCTGCCTACTTATAATATTGCATTCTGAGACTGGGAATCTTTGTATGTATTGATATTGCTGATTGAATCTTCCAGGAGGTAAGTTAATTTGTAAGCCTGGGGTTTTTACACATGCTGTCTCAATAACCAGTGATGAGAGGGGAAATGGAAAAAGCAAAGCAGAGTTTTTCATGTCTGTCTTGATGACAGATTGCAATATCTTTGATTTCCTCAAGCTGTAAGTGTTAGCAAAATCAATTTTCAAATGGTTTATGTTTAGGGAAAAAACAACCCACAAAACAATATGGTTGGCAGATTCCAACAGGTGGCTTTGTGGTGATAATAAGTGCTGGAGAAGATGTGTTTCCCCCCT